TCCGGGGGCCCACGCTGGGGATCATGGTGCCTCTGGGATGCTGGGAGAGAAACCACACTGCTGTTGGCTTTGGCATTCCCAGCGCTCCGACCGCGGCTGCTCCACCCCACCGATGGATTTATCCTCGGGGAGAGGGGGAATGGCACTGCAAACACCCGGATCCTACGGAGGGCTCAGCATTGTTCCACAACCTTTCCATGCAAAACCACCCCCTCCTCCTCCACCCTGAGCCACCCCAAGCCCCTCACTCACCCTGGGGGGCTACCAGCACACGGCTCCTGGGGGCTCTCCAGCTCCGCAGCGCCTCGGGCACCCTGGGAAGAGCAGGATGGTTGGGAAGCGGGCAGGGCTGTGCCAACACCCAGCTGTGCCAGCTCTGGAGGGGGGTGAGGAGTCACCCTCCAGGCCTGGCCACGCGTGGGTCCCCTCGGTGTCACCAACGCGGCAATGCCAGCGCTCGGAGGGACACGGCAGCCCCGGGGACAGAGGTGGCCTGTTGATGAGGTTATAATTTAACCAGGATAATTACCATGAACCGAGTGAGCTTCCCCGCTCTAACTGTAGGTGCCTTTATAGTGTTTGCCCAGAATCAATCCTTGCCCTCTCCGTCCCTTTCATTTGTGCCGGGAATTGATAAAAGAGGGGTGGCACAGCCACGGGGTGCAAAGGAAGGGGCGCAGGGAGAGGAGGGGACGCCAGGCACGACCTGCACGTCCACCTTGGGAGGCACCCAGGGGCCTGGAGCTCAGGCTGCCTTCATGGGAAAGCTCCCCTGAAAGGCGGATAGCAAATTTAGGAGAAAATAAAAATGCAGCAGCCATCCCAGTCCCAGTGTGGGGCTCCAGGTGCACCTCCTAATCCCCCTGGAGGGGCTCCCGACCCAGCCCTGGGCACCCCACAGCGCCTGGCCTGTGCTGACAGCTCACAGGCTCCAGGCTCTTCCAAAAACCAGGACATTTTTGAGGCCCGGCCAAGCAATTGTTCCAAAAATAACCTGAGGCCAGGATTTCCACGCCGAGGGGCTGCAGGGAACCCGCAGGACCCCGCTCCCCATGCAGGACCCCAGTGCCCCTGAAGGCTCCCACATTCCCACAGGTTTTACCAGCTTACCACCACTTTGTGAGCTTTGTTCTCCGGGAGCTTTTAGCCTTCTCCTGCCAGGGCTTAGCTCGGATGCTTTGACTTAACCCCTCTCCTCCCAAAACGAGGGAGGGAGCTCATCCAGAGCCGTGCTGGGAACACTCTGCTGGGTGGGGGGAACCGAGGGACCCAGCGAGCCCAGACCCTTCCTCTGCCTCCCTATCCCAACCCACCCTTCCAGGTGGGACATCCAGGCTGCCGGTGACACCCACAGGTGCTGGCACACAGCCCAACGTGCCAAAGGTTTGTCCCGCTGGCTGCCCTTTCCAGCCGGGTGCTCCCCAAATCCCCGGTGCCACCGGGAGCCCTCGGAGCACACCGAGTGCCAAGGCACGCAGCTTTCCGCTGCCAAAACCCCTCCCGGGGGTTTCTCCCGAAGCCGGGCTCAGCCGGATACATCCAGGCTGGAAAACCGGACCTCAACTTTCCCCTCGCTGCCAAAGGAAAGGCAGGAAGGGCAGAGCCGGCCACAGGCTGCACAGGCTCGCTCCGTTTTAGGGCAAAACGAGGTGGAGGAGCCGCCCCTGAGGAAGCGAAGCGCCCAAAGAGGCACATCCCGGGGGGCTCCGACCTGCTGCAGTCCCGGGGCAAAGCAGCACACCCAGCCCAACATCCCGGGACAAACCCAAA